TCGTCAAGAAAGTTCTTGGGAAAAGTAAGGACCTTGGTGCCCTGTCAAACGACGGCACGGAACCTTTTGATGTCGCCTCCATGGTTACTTCTTTTCCACAGGACCTTGTGGTCGAGAGCATCCAATTATTCCTGCGAAACAAGAACGCTGAAACGGCGAATCACCTCGGACACGCCCATATCCTAGGTTTCCTAAAGTTCTCTCTCAAGACGCATTTTACCTTCAACGGAACAATCTACGAGGAGGTGAAGGGCAAGCTCATGGGTTCGTCAATTTCCAGACTCATAGCCGAGGCGGTCTTGGAACGTCTGATTCGCCGGCTTACCGACACCAGGTACTGAAGTTATAGACTCGGTATGTGGGCGACACCTTCATCGCAATCGAGCGGGATCAGGTGCTGAGATTCAAGGAAGATCTAAACGCCGTCTTTAAGGACACCAAATTTAGGATGGAGGAAAACAAACAGCTAGCCTTTCTGGATGTCCCCTTTTGCCGCAAACACTTTGGTGGCCTAAAAACTTAGGGAAAGCGACCAACATTATGCACCTCCTGGATGTCAACAGTAAGCACCCGATCATTCACAAAGGCAGATGCGTAAGATCGCTATAGCCGCACGTTGAAACGAATTGCAGCGAAGTGAAAGACAAAGTTGCTGAATTGCAATATCTTCGTTGGCTACTGAAAGCGGATGGTTACCCGCGCAATTTTTCCACAAAGTGCATACGTAGACGAAGCAATAAACCAAATCCAACCGGCGTAAAAGTTTGACCAGCTCTTCCGTACGTGGAGAATATATCGGCACAGTCAGCTCTCCTCTCACCCACTTGGAGTTGCGCACAGACCAGAAGCAACCATTAAGCGCCGTTCGTGTGACCGAAATGCCCACTGCCACAACCGGAAACGGATGGAGTCGTGTATCGGATCTGGTGCAGTTGTAGACAAACTAATATGTCGGAGAAATCTCCCGATTTCCCCGGATGCGAATGGCCGAATGCAGCAGCAATGAGGAGGAATGACGCTTACTCCCAGGTTGCAGCTCACTCGACGAAATCTGCCATGGTTTCAAGCTAAATGAGGTCGAAATGAGAAGAAGACGACTCGATCGCTGGGACAGTAGTTTTATTCGCCTGACATTTCGAGATCCGTCGCGGATTCGTTATCAGAGAAATAGTCAAAGAGCAGAAGCAGAAACGGGTAATGCATGCACAGGGTTTTGCAGTATTTATAGGACACGGTCATTGCTGCAAAAATACTGAAACAATTAACGTTAATTGCGTGGATAGTTTGTTGGAGGACATGCGGGCTCTTACCTGTTGAATTTTCAGCACGCTTCATGGACTGGGGCGTGATGAGAGTTAAACAGGTCAGAGCCTGCATTCCCTCCAACAAACTATCCATGCACAAGAAGGCAATTAACGTTAATTGTCTCTGTATGTTTGCAGCAATGACCGTGTCCTATAAATACTGCAAACCCCTGTGCATGTATTACCCTTTTCTACTTCTGCTCTTTGACTATTTCTCTGATAACGAATCTGCGACGGATCTCGAAATGCCAGGCAAATAAAAGTATTGTCGCAGCGATCGAGTCGTCTTCTTCTCAATTACTTCACGAGACTCGCATGTTCGCTTGTATTGGCGAGGTCGAACTCCTCGCAAGAGGTGATAATCGCGTGAGCTGCGAGCTGCTCGATTTACAGTTCTCAGGTCTACGGTTAATCAACAAGCGCACCGACACGCCGTTTCCATAACCCGTACTGAGATACTGTCTGAACAGAAGAAACACGCAATTAATTTTAAAAAAACAAATAATGTCATTAAAGGAGGTCGGGGGTGGCGCTTAAGAATGAGGAAAAAGATGGATCATCGTTATTTAGGAGAATGGCTGAGTGAGCAGGTCTTGGCAAGAACGCAAATATTCTAACCATTCCGCGACGCTCTTTTTCTCACAAGCCTGCGCGTTAGCCGTCATGCTGGAATGCATTGCAACAGCCTTACTCGCAGCATATTCTTCCATATCCTTGAGATCGGCCTCACCATCCATTACCAGAGTTGGGATGAGGGAAGAAAGAGTGCGAATCATAGAGGCACACATAGTTGCAGAAGGACCGTCCCCCTGCTAGAATTTTAGACAAGAGTAAGTTAATAGTACTTTCTGGATTGATTACATAAAAACTAGCATTATGATTGCTAAACCAAGACGAGCACAATTTACAAAAAGGCAGAACATCACAGAGTCAACTTAAAATAATGATTGACGATAATTTTCTACTTCAGTAGACATTGTAAATCAAGGCCGCAAGCCACTGATGGAGATGCATGCAAAAGAATCGCCTTTTTCATGAGTGAATCAGGAAGCAAATGGCAGGGGTGCAAAGATTTCCCATTTAAGAGTCACCAAGCATTTCACTGCTGACTGCCAATAGTCAAAATAAAATAAGGGAACGCGGAATTATTTTTTTGTGCGATAGTTCGGCTATTAAAGGTTAAGAAACAAAACAGCCAGGATACATTCAATTTTGGTATTCCTAGGCTTCATTGAATTCAGTAGATATATAACAGCAATAAGAACTAATAAAAACAATAAAAGATTTCCATTTAACCTGGATGTTAGTCGAAAAGGCAGGGGTTCCCGAAAGGAGGTCGCAGAGTACGGAGTCAAATCTTGTTGCCCTGTCTACGAATTGAATGACTCGTAACCGGCATGGGAAACTTGATCTAGGTAGGAGTTAAGCAATAAGACAGAAAACAATAAACCTCAAAATTAGCAGCATCTCAAAAGTATGGAAAAACAAAAGGTAAAAACATTATTGAGAGTAAAGTGTGGTTAACCATCAAATATAAAAAATCCTGCTCTATAATTCGGGCCGTTCTCCTGACTGGCGATCAAAGGGAGATTCGAGAGAATTACAGCAAAAACACGATTCTTGCCTAATTGAAAAGTATATCTCCAGGTGAAGCTGGGGAATAAACACCGACGTTTCCAATGAATATTCAGCTGTAATCATCGTTCAGTAAACTAACAGTCACGACATGCACCGCCGCAACAGACATAATCGAATATGTATCTGCACACAGAAGAATACCAAAATTGGAGAATATTCGAGTTCCAGAAGGCAGTTCAGAAGAAGAGAATGCAATCAATGGAACAAGAATTTTACTTTCCTGACGTTTCGGATTCCGCCAGGAATCCGTAATCATAGGTGATGGTAGCATAGTCATAGTCATGCGCTGATAAGGTTGAAACATGCACAGGTTGCACGGTATTTACAGTTCATAGTTCTGCAGTCACGGCTTGGGTCTATGGTCTCCCGAAAGTGCACAAAGAGGGCGCACCCCTCTGGCCAATCGTATCTCTCAAAGGAACTCCAACATACGGACTGGAAAAGTGGCTGTTCCTACGGCTCAAATTGTTGACCGTTGATTCAGACCAACAGTCAGGTCGTCAACATAATTATTGAAGAAACTTAAAGGGGTAAGCCTCCAACCAAACGATATCATGATTTCCTTTGATGTAAAGTCCCTTTTTACTTCTATTACACAGGACCTGGCCGCCGGGACTATCCAATTACTCCTACGAGAAAAATATGATGAAACGGAGAATCGCCTCGGGCACACCCAAATACTCCAGCTCCTAAAGTTCTGCCTCAAGACGTCCTTTACCTTCAACGGAACTATCTACGAGCAGGTAAAGGGCGCGCCAATGGGTTCGCCCATTTCCGGACTCATAGCACAGGCGGTCCTGCAACTGTTGGAGTCGCGTGTTTTCCAACACCACAGACCGCAATCCTGGGCTCGGTATATGGACGACACCTTCGTCGTTATTGAGCGGGATCAGGTGCTGACATTCAAGGA